TTCTGCATCCCCCCACAGACAGCGGAGACCCTGCTGTTTCTAGGTGGAGCACTGCAGAAGTCATCAGGGAAGGGGAACATGCCTGAACGTGGCAGCTGTGAAGCCTGTAAAGTTGACAAACCAGTGATTGATTGATGGATATTGATGGTGAGAAAGCAAGGTGGCGGTTGCAGCAAAAAAACCAATACCTTGAGTGAGAACCCATGACAATTCAAATGGGGAACGGGACATTGCTGGTCATTTTTAGAAACCCATGCACTAAGGGTAGAACGTGCTCTGGATGAAAAGGGCAAGAGATGAGAAAGAGCAAATCCCCTTGCTGGTTTTTAGATCCATTTGTCTGGGGGAGGAAGGGAGGTGTGTACATCACATAATTTTAGAAAGGAAAATGACGGTAGAGCCGTACAGCTGACATGATAAGGCCATGTGCATTTCTGCTCTCACCTTTGTTTTGACGCTATTAGGTGTGATATTTGAGCAGGGGGAAGGTAGTCTCTAGAGGGACCCCTCTCACCACTTACAGAGCACTCACAAACCACACAGGCTCAGCCAATGCTTCGTGTCTAAATTCAGCTAAATACAGTGTGGGCCAACAGCCCGGGGAAGGGTGCTGGGAGATGGCAGGAGCTAAACAAGACACAGGTTTCTGTTGGGGTACGATATTGAATTGGTTTTTAATTCATTTCTGTTTAATTTTTTTCCCTCATTTTGTTGTTTTTTATCATGTTTTTCTTTGGGTTTCTCTCTGTTTTACAGTTCTTTTGGGCTCTTCTTTTGAGGCTGTGTTTGATGCGTTGGCTTCCCATCCGCTGCTCGTAACCATCTCTGCTATGAGTTGTGAGTGAGCCATCACCATGCTTCTGGGTTTTCATTTTGTTTTATGCTTTTGTTATATATGGAAGTCCAAATTACACCTGGTTTTCTTTTTTTCCTCATGATATGTTTGTTTTTCAGCAGGATCGTGACAGCTACCTAAATGTGATGCAAAGGCCTAGAACAATTGGGATTCTCTCTGAGGGGCTGACAGATATTTGGGTGGTGCCAGAGACTGTGATTTTGTCACTTCTGTGATTTCAGAGGCAAGGGAAGGGGAATTCTCTCATCTTACATTTCTGAGTCCAGCTTCCTCTATTAATTTCTGACTCCCCATTGGCATAAAATATGTTTGCTATTATTAATGATTCTATGAAGTGATGCTGTTTAGATCAGCAAATCAAAAACACATATAAGAAGTGCAGATTATGTTCCCAACAGAAGAGGTGGAGATGCGTGTCCCTGAATTTCCCCCATGAACCTAACTGAAGAAGCAGATTCCTAGAAGTCACAGAGATTCTTCCTTTTCATTCAGTTAAAGCTTTCTTTTCCTGCTTATCACAACCTTTCCAACAAGTCATTTCAATCCAAGTTATATCTCCAAATGCTTTCCATGATCTGCGCCATTTCCTCTCTCCCCTTACCACCTTCTTGTCGATCTGTGCTAACTTTCTTTTCATATTCTTACTGCTGAAAATCCTTTTCCTGGTTCCAGGAGAGATGAGTCGATCCTAGATGACAGCAGGCCTGCCAGGGGCAAAGATGGTGGATCTCATGAGTTGTTTGCACAGGCTTCCAGAAAGTAGGGGAAGAACCAGTGGTCATGTTCCGTGAGAGTACCGCAGTCTTAAGAAACAGTAGACTGGCATACAAATACAAGATTTTGGGAAGGAAGCTGGAAATGGACACTCAAAATGTCAGACCAGTGAAGCAAAAGAAAAAATCTAATCTCTATGAATGAACACAGTATAAGGAGCCAGGATTCAGATTAATGAGGACATACAAGTACTCCTCAAATAAAGGGAGTGTACTGGAAAGACAGACTTCATGTGAGTCACAAGGGAGACACTGTTGGCACTCGAAATACAAACGATCATGAGTATTTGACCTGGAGAATGATGAAAAGCTGATGGGTGGAAAATGGCACAGCTTGTAACAGTGGAACACTTCATATAGGATTTTGTTACCTAGTTCTGTCTTTGTCTGTGAGGTAATCTACATTGCTAAGGCAGCGAAAGGAACACAGAGTATAGTTTTTGCTCTGTGGTAGTGATCCAACATATTCTCCCAAGCTAAAACTCATTTTAAATCAAGCTTCTAATGTAATATACTTCATATCTGTGACATCTCTCCAACAGCGCTGTGTAATAAAGTATTTCAGCTTTGTGGTAGACACAGTATGAATGTGAGAAGAGATACACTTTATAACATTTTTGATAGTAATACTGATGTGCAAAAAATAAATAAGTCATGCATAGTTGAAAATTGTATTTCAACTTGCTAGCTTATTATATATTCATCATTTTTGGGATTCAAATCCGTTGGGTTTTATAGGATGCCGTGGTCTGAACCTCCTAACTAACAATTTCCATTCTGTGTCAAATGTGGATTGGTCTGGACAACAAGGATGTTTTATCCAGGCTCTTTTCCACCGCTGGACAATGCAGTGGTGGGATGAAATTTATTAACTGGAAGAAATGAAGTGTAGAAAGAAATCATCTGGAAAATTAATGTTGGTGAATTCAGAACAAAAGTCAATGACAATTGGGTATACAGCATGTGCTAAAAGAAATGCTCAGGCAGGAGCTGTTTGTTTGGATGAAAAACAAGGTATCTCCACAGCCTGGGAAATATTTGATTTAAGTGATTAGAGACACGGTCAAAAGGCATGGCTAATTGCCTTATGACTGGCAGAGCAGTCAAATATGGTTAAAAGAGGTGCAGCCTTTATGAGAAAAAGATGCTGTTACACGGTTAGCATCTACCTGTTTTGTTCAAAGGACTCTAAATTGTCAAAGCAATTGCAAAGTCTTGCTTAGTTGCAGTACCCTTTCCTGAGGTACCGCATGAAAGAGGACTAGAGAGAGAGCCCTTGGGGTTCAGCAGCAGGACTGGCTGGGGGAGCAGCCTGTCATGTTGGCTGTGGGACAGGTGCACAGTTGAAAGATGGCTGGGCTTTTGCTTTGCTTCTGAAAGAGGAGGGAAATAACATTTGGAAACTGCCTAGCATTGGTTTCAGAACAGATCTAATTAAAGACTACAAAGATAGCCCGTCTGCCAGAAATAAAAAGTATTGATCTAAAGTGATTTTCAGAGACATTGCCAACCATACTGAAACCAGCACACGTGCTGTTTGGTTCAGTGCATGCACAGTTGATAACTGAAGACATTGAAGTCAGGAAAGAACATGAAAGACAAACTTCCATGGACTGCAAACATTGAATAATATTTTTTGTGAAAACATTATGGATTACGTGTTAGAATTGTTCCCAATACACTCTTATGTCTCATGAAAAGTATCAAAGCACCCTATCTTCCAGTCATAGTAGAAAATAGGAATGTCCTCTTGCTTTTGAGTATGTGGAGAAAATTTATGGTGACAGCTGGTTCAACAAATGTATTCCAGTGGCCAGTATTCTGCTTTTCGGGAACTCACATCAGTGAATTCACTGGAATTCTGAAAATATTTTGCAGTTATTTGTCAGTGGAAATCCTAAATTGCATGCTCTGAGAGAAATGAGGAACACCAATATAATATCTGCTGCTAAGTAAGTATGTTATAGCTCAGGCTGGAGTACTGCAAGATTAAATGCTGCCTTAAGTGCATGGAATGTGCATGGAGGTTCTCCTTGTGGAGTATTTGATTAGCATAAAGGAGCTGTAAGATAGACTTGCAGCTTTTTTGCTTGGAGTCACTGTAACTTAAGAGCTGCATTGTACACCATACAGGTGTACATGTTCATGGCACGGTGTCGATGAACTTGCTTAACAAAAGTTTGAAGTTTTACTCTTTCTGAGAATGTTGAAATTCAGAGCAACTTCCCTGTACCCAAAAGGAAGCAATTGAATTGTATGTATTTAAAGTGGCAGAAGGGTGCCCTGGAACAAAAGTACAGAGTTTTAGATGTAGTTTTGAAAACATGGGCACAGCTTAAAGAACAAACCTGAATCAACTGACCTAGGTGGGACAAGTTACTTAATTAGACTAGTTATTAATGTGCTCAATTTTCTGCTAGAATGGGATCTTCATTATGAGTATGTTTAGTTTTTTGCCCAAGCTTAGCCTTAAGATGGAAGAAATGTGGACCTGAACCTGGTTTTGCCACAAGAATTTTGAGAGCACTCTGTTAACTCTCATTAGCTCTGGTGCTTCTAGTTCAACTGAAAGGATTTGGTGGGTGTCATTGTTTAAATGCAAGTTTTTCAGACAGTAGCATCTTCATTAAGTGAGCTCACATGGATAATGTTCTTGTGGAGGCAGCAGTGGAAAGAGTTGGAAGAGTTGCTCAGCCCCCAAAAGAGAGAAAGCCTCCAGGTTGGAGGAACAGTCACTGGAGTGCCATTCCACAGCCACTGTATTGAGCCTTCACTTTCCAAATACAGGAAAAGGAGAATCAGAGAAAGAGAAAATAAATATTCATGATCTAAAATACACTGTCAAGAATCTGAAAAAAAGTAAGAACTCTGGAAGTCAGAGGTTCTTAATTTGAAGTCTTACAGAAGATGTTGACAAGCCTTGTCAGCAAATGTGTATGGTCATCTGCCTTGTAGTAGGTGATCCCTGTTCTCATCCTGACCAGGCTGTTTTCAGGCTTTGCTTAGCTCATGTTATTCATGACTCAGTAGTTTTGTACTTGCTTTTCTTTGCTAGCTTTTTCCTTGACCTGGAGTTAAAAAAGGAAAATATGATCCTGGATAATGTTCTTATCTCTATGCCTAGACTATTCCTGTTCTAACATATCACTGTAACCACCTTGCCTTCTCTGTAAAATAATCTTTTCTAGAAACACAGAATTGGAGTCTGCTGTCTGTTTAGCTGGCTGCTAGAGCACAAGAAGGCAGTAAGAGCTTTGTATCTCTTGGGTACATATGAAATAACAGTATAGACAAGAAGTTCCCAGGAGTTAGCTGCGCAGGGGATTTAGTCATCTGCTCTGTCTCTGAGATTTTCTCTTGTCTCCCTTCAGCCCCGCAACGTTGCTGGTTTTCGAGGAACGGTCCGCTATGCCTCTGTGAATGCACACAAAAACAGAGTGAGTATTCTTGGGTTATAAGGAGTTGAGAGTAAGATTATTTCCCCTCAGAAACCTGTTTTCACGAGCAGGGGAGTAAGAGGCATGAGTTTTGGTTTGTTATCTACAGAAGTTAGTATATCAGATGATTTCTGTTAGATGGTAAAGGTTATAAAATCAAAATTATGATTCAGTTATTGGATCCTCTCTGGTTGGCAGCCTTAATAATTGTAATTATTGCATTATCAGGCACTTCTCAAGGGCAACCTTCCCCCCCTCAAAAACATACTTAAGGGGAGATCTGGGTAAGTGCCAGGCTGCTTGATGCTAGTTTCTAGCAGAATTTGGCTGGGAATTACCAAGTGCCAAGTCCCCAAATCCATTCTTCACCTGTAATTTTTAATATTAACGTTGTGCTGTCTGGTGAAGAGCCACCCAGTGAGGGCTAGGTTATTTTTCCTTGAAAAGAACCATTATTTACATAGTGTCTGGCCTGTTTCATTCTAAACACTTCTGGAAGTCTCATTCTTCTTAAAACACTCCTACGTCCTATTTCAGTAATGTTCCTTTGCAGACTGTAAACATTAAGTTTGGACAATGCTCTCAGGTCCGTGGTGTGATTCTTGGGGTGTCCTGTGCAAGGCCAGGTCTCTTCCAACTCACCATATTATATCATTCTATGATTCGAAGTTATGCTAAGTGCTCGCCAGATGGAAACTATCAACCCCTCCTGCATTACCTCCAGGTTTCTGGCTTTCCTTGTGATGAGTCTGTAGAATGACCTGTGACATGTAAGGAAGTGTCAGGTTCTTTTAGGGAAAGAAGTTATTGTCTGCAAAAGGTGGGAAGTGTGATGTGGGGAGGGCAGTTGAATGCCATCATGAATTCTCTGCTTCCCAGGAGGCACTGAGAAACCTGAGGTGTAATTTTTGGAAGAGCTGAATAGTGCCAGCTATAGCTGATATCAGCTGAATGTATATTTAGACACAAAAATTGCTGTATAATGCAGGCTATTCTGAGAAATCATGTTCTAGACATTGGATGTTGAGCACCAAAAATGAATTCGTATGCTTTAGCAATTTCAGCCTTAACCTCCACGTTCCAATTTCCCATTCACTAGCCCAGGAGGAGAGTGGTATGTGGAAGTGTTACAAATCTGTAAATTGTGGTGCATGATTGAGTGTTCTGCAAAAGCCCTTGAGCAAACATTATCTTGTGAAAAGAGTGTGAGTTATATTAAGGGTTAGAAACAATAATAAAAATATGTCTGACACAAATTTTTGGATTTTTTTCTTAATCTAGGTTATTCCACATCCCATTAATAAATATTTCACTCCTGTGGAATACTCAGTGAGGGACAGTCCTATGGAAAACTTGTACTTTCTCCCTTTGCTAATATATTCACAGAAATGGAAACAAATGAGGTTATTCAGGTGACTGTACTGGCGTTGCCAAGTTGAATAAAAGCTTAGGTTTGTGTCTTTAGTCTTTAATTTGTCTTCTTTAGTCATTGAATGGGAAGTATGACTTCTCTTCCTGCCTTTTAAATGAGGTGGCTCATCTGGAAAGCACACCTGGACTACTGAGCAGCATGGAACTTTGCTCCTCAGTCTTAGTCTCTCTTTTCTCCAGGAGATGGGTAGACACGATGACCTGTGGTCCCTCTTTTACATGTTGGTGGAGTTTGCGGTTGGTCAGCTTCCATGGCGAAAGATCAAAGATAAGGTAGGAAACCTACTGTCTGTGCTTAAGAGAGCGGGCTGCATAATAATTTTAATTATTATGACTCTCTATTATACCTCCTGTAACTCTGTGCAGCTTTTTTCTAAAGTAAAGCCAGAATCTTCTTTTCATCAGATCTTGCTGCAAGATGCTAACCTGCTTTTCTGATGCACAGGGTGGTCTTATCTTATTGGGAGTAATTAGACTTTATTTTAATGCACATTGTTAATCATATTTGATCAAGTGATTCTTACTTTGTTCTTGCAAAGCAAAAAATAAAATGAAAAGACTGAGCTGTCCTTCTGACAAATGAAAAGAGCCTTTAGAAAGGCAGGAGGATAATGCTTTGCTGTGTCAAACAAACCAAATGGGATTTGAAATCAAAAAGCTAGAAAGAATAAAGCTAGCTGTTCATGATGTCTTGGAAATACTTTTTGCTAGGGAATAAAATCCCTGGAAAGAAGTAGATTGCCTGTGCAGAAGGCTCTGCTAAAGGGACCCTGGGGAGTGTTTCTATATTGGGATTCCCCTTTGACTTCTGCCTGCAGCAATCAACCTTCTTGTGCTTGGGACTGCAAACAGGAGAAGTGTGTAGACACTGTGCTGGAAGAGGCTGTGTTCCAGGAATAAGACTAGGTGATATTCCAGGAGAGATAAGTCTGTATAAATGTGATGCAATAGAAGAGATTCTTGGCTCTGAGATTTATTTTTTTTTTTCCCCAGGAGCAAGTTGGCATGATAAAAGAAAAGTATGAGCACCGAATGCTGCTAAAACACATGCCTTCAGAGTTCCACCTTTTTCTGGATCACATTGCAAGCCTAGACTACTTCACCAAGCCAGACTATCAGGTGGGAACCTTTCTTTGCTACCAGGATGATGCATGGCACTGTGGACTGGCATTTGGATTTTTTAAAGATTTCCATGCATGTGTTTATATCTGGCTGAGGAATACCTTTCCTAGGACCAGGAAAAAAAGGCTGGACTGTGCAGTTCTCCAAAATCTCTAAAGTTTTTTCATCTCCTTCCACCTCCCTGTCCTCCACACCAAAAAACTCTTCCCAAACAACACAGTACTTCTGGCTTTAATTAAAACACAAATATTTTGAGGTACTCCAAATGTGACAGAATTCTAGCACAGCTTGCCAAGATCTGCAAAGAGCCTATACCAGCAGCTCAACTGTGCCCACCAACCCCTTTGTTTTCCTGCAGACTCGTATGGGCCTTAGCCATTATTATCTCTTTCTTTAATATTCATCTAACATATGGATTTTCCTCCCATTCAGTGTTTGTTATCAGCATGTATATGATCAGTTTTGGTACTCAACTAACACAAAATAACTGGAGCAACTTGATTCTGTGTCACTTTTTTTTATCACTGTGGTTTTCTCTGTACATTAAGATAGAGTGATGGAAACAACATTTTATTAGCAAATATGTGCCTGCTCCTGTTGATAGTGCATCAAATGAGTGAGAAAGTGGTAGGAGGGTGTTCCAGCAAACTCTCTCCAGCAGTGCCTTTATGTTTTAGCCATGTACGTATTGTAGCATAGCAACACGCATTTTTAAGAAATTAAAAAGAAAAAAAGGAAAATACTTTCCAGATAGTGCAGCGGAAAAATAACATTTGCCACTAGGATGAAGAGCTGTAGAGGGATGGAGGTGGACTGAGAAGATGCAGAGGGAGATGGATTTGTTTGACCTGGAAAAGAAAAGTCAAAGAGGGGATCTGATTGCTGTCTTTTGCTGCCTCAAGGACAGTTGTGGGGAGAATAGAGGCAGCAAGGGAAGTTGTGACTAAGTTTAGGAGGGAAAAAATCAGAATGTGGGTTCTTAAATATGAAACAGGTACTTATAGAAGCTGTGGAATTTTCATTCTTGGGGATTTCCAAAGATTGACTGCATGAGGAATCTGATCTGCATTTTCAGTAGCTCTGGTTTGAGCAGGTGGTTGGATTAGAGGTTTCAGCATCTCCTTTTGAACGTACATCCTCCTATACTCTATTCCAGTTTAAAATAATTGTGTTGTAATGGTACTGAAAAACCATCCTTGAGATGGAAATGGAGGGAGATGTTTCCGGACAGTTTTAGGGCAGTACAAATCACAAACAGCTCTTTCACAGTAGGGGATTTGACTGAAGCTGTGAATTGCCTCTTTGCCTTCAGTTTCCTGCAGTTGCAACTTGGGCAAGAAGCTTCCAAAAGGGAACTCTCCACAAAAGTCTGACATCTGCAGCTTGCCACCTAAAGTGATTCTTCTGGCTTGACTTGGAGACCTATTCCAGACAGCAAATTCTCCAAAGAGCTCAGTTCCAGAGATGTCTCTATGTTGATTTATCTAGATGTATTACTGTGAAAGACTTTTTAATCTTTCACAAGGAGGCAATTCACAGCTTCAGTCAAATACCCTAAAGGGGGCCTGTAAGAAAGATGGGGACAGATGTTTTAGCAGGACCTGTTTCAATAAGACAAGGGATAATGGTTTTAAACTGAAAAGGGGTAGATATAAACTAGATCTGAAGAAGAAATTCTTCACTATGAGGATAATGAAACACTGGGACAGGTAGAGGTTGTAGATGACCCATCTCTGGAAACATTTGAAGACAGGCTGGATGGGGCTCTGAGCAGCCTGGTCTAGTTGAAGATGTCCCAGTCTGTGGTAGGGGGCTTGGACTAGATGACCTTTAAAGGTCCCTCCCAACCCAGACCATTCTATGATTCTAACTTATCCACTCTCTGTCTGTATTCATGTAAACCTTTAAGCATCCACCATGTGACAGGGAGGCACCACAGCTTAAGTTCTTGCTATGAGAAAAACTGCTTTCTTCTCTCTGTTCTACACTTGCCACCTGCAAGTCTGATTTGATGCCCCTTACATCTTGGTCATGACTGTGAACTGATGCCTAGCTTCTTTCTCACTCTCAGCCACAGAATCCTGAGGACTGGGACTGTTATGTGCAGTTGTAAAGTTTTGACCTTTCATCAGAAGTATAAAGGTTTCAAAGAAAGCTGAGAGGACTCAGTAAGTCCATGGAGTAAGTTGAGAATAATGGCAGATTAGACACTAGTATCCTTCAGCCTGGGAAAAAAGACCCTACAGAGAATACAGTAGAAGGCTGTAAAATCCCTAATGGCCTGCGAAGTCAAATGCAAGCGTTACAGAATAAGTTATAGAAGAAAGTACCAAAAGTTGTTTTAAATGAGTGGGTCCTTGATGGCATGGAGGAACGCTAAAAATAAGACAGCTGAACTTCTAATTTTAGCATGTGGTTTCTTACTTCAGACTGCTTCAGTATCAAAGGAATGGAAGGTGGCAGAAGCAGTACCAATTTTTAAATAGCTTCAGAAGATCCCAGTCCCTGACACTGATGTGTCCATCACAGAGAATCAGAAGCTGTGATAAGACTGGGATTAGTGGACATATGATCTGATGATCTAGTGAGGATGATCTAATGAACAGAAGCCTAGTGAACAGTAGGGCTTTTATAAGGGCATCTGTCTACAGATGTGTGGAGTTCTTGCAAGGCATCTTTGAGGATTTGGGGATATTAATTTTGAAAAGACATTTGAAAGTAGCAGTCAAAGCATTGCCAAACTAGCAGTCGGAAAAAATCCTAAGAATAATTAGAGTAGCATTAGAGGGTAAACAGAAAATATCCTTGTGTTACTATGTAGATTTGTGTGAAGCATACTCTTAAATACTCTCTGCAGTTCCATTCCTGCATATCAAAAAGGATATCTTCAAATCAGAGAAGTTGTAGGAACGAGGAACAAGGAGGCTCAAGATAGCTTCAGATATGGAAGGACTGATAAGATAGGACAGTACACTTTGAAAAAAAAAAATACTGACATGTACATAACATTTTTAAAATCAAAGGCAGAATGGCAAGAAGTGAATGGAAAATTATTGTATTCTACTTCTTCTGATATGAAAATAAGAAACTGTCAAATGAAATCATCAGGACGCGGGTTGGAATGAGTAAGGAAGGTGGTTCACATAATTGATGTGTTCTTTGCCAGAAGGTAGGTATAGTCTGAAAGCTTATGCATTCAATAAGTAATTAGGCAAATTAATGCCCATTTCCATCTGAGTGAGAGGGGAAATTGTTGTGACAGGAGGCTAACAAGCAGAAACACAATCCTATCATATTTATCTGTCTCACCAGTAAAATCCCTTTCAAGACAAAGACGCTGGTACCACTACCATGTCATGTTCACACTGGAGAGGCGGTACATGTGCCTTGGTCTGACCAACAGTCTGCTGTGGAAATTCTTTTGATCAAATGTTGTGTCACTACAGGAGTGGAGCACCTGGTTCTAGGGTTCTAGGTCACAAAAAGGAGGAAAAAGATGGCTCATCTGAAAACTGCAAATAGACATTTTACTGCAGTTTGGTGGAAGGTAGTAGGAAGTGGCAGGCTGTCTTGTCCTTCTGATCATGCTGATAAACAGAACTGGAATATAAATACAAATAAGGATGTTTGTTCGTGGTACTTTGTATTCATAACTTAGTGCTCATTCTATATCATAAACCAAATGTATTTGCCACCACACTCTCTCTCCCTATAGACTTTAGGCTGAATCCTAAGTCAGTTCTGCATTATTTAGCTGAATAATTTTATTAGAAATATAGGACCTCACATACAGCTCTGTTGGCCTATAGCATCCACTTTTCCTTTGACAGCAGAACATCAGATTTCTCTGGGTAATGCACTGGTGCATGGAACACTATTGATAGTAGTTTCATTCTCTCTTAAAGAATATCAGTTCTTAGACAGCAACAAGCATAAAGAAAATCAGCATGAGCATATATACCTGCCACCTTATAAAGAAGATTGTGTCATCTCTTTTACAGTTTTATTTTCTTACGCAGCCAAATGTGTCAGGCCACTTTGTGCATAAGCATAACATAGGGCTCCTGACCAAGCATTTGAGCCAGGCACTGCACCGAATCTGCATCCTAGGACTGCATTTTCCTGTTGTGTTTATTTCTTCTGGCAGTCCTTGAACTACGTGTCGAATGTACTATTCTGCACGTCTCATCTACAGGAAGGTTGAGCTGAAGTTACGGATTTAGATTTGGAGTAACAAGGCAACTGCAAGATTTCATCAAATCAGTGCCAAAATGTTGCGTTTCTTTTATAGTTTTGAAGAAATTTCACTTACTGAGCCAAAACCAGTCTAAGAAACAATCACTGCTATTTTATAACATTAGCTTTCATTTCTTAGTATCCTTTTTAGGCAAATTGAAGATTATAAACTGCACTTGGTCTTTGTGTGCATACTTCAGATTTTTGATGAGAGCCACCCTCAGCTACTTAACATAAATTGTTCTTGTAAATCTATTCCAGCTAATCATGTCCGTTTTTGAGAACAGCATGAAAGAAAGAGGCATCACTGAAAATGAAGCCTTTGACTGGGAGAAGGCTGGTACAGATGTTTTGTTGTCCACTAGCACCTCAACTCCACCACAGCAAAATACCAGGCAAACAGCAGCCATGTTTGGGTGAGTGTTGCAGTTGTGTCACTCAGACTACAGTGAACAAGCTCAGTGATAAGTTTGTTTTGAAAGATTTCAAGATGTTACGATCCTGGGAAGCTGGGGCCTCATGACAGCCACCACTTGATTTGACTTATATATATATATTAACATACGTCTGAGGTGGTGGGAACCCAGTTTCGGATCCTCGTTGTCTTGAAAACGCATTTTCTACTGGGGATGAGTGTGTGGGTTGGAGTCACATTAAGGGATGTCTGGAGATCTCTGAGCAGGATAAATGGAGCTTGTATATTGTGCATATTATATGGTGTACATGCCTGGAGCTTCTGGGAGAGCACCTGCTTTGAGGCCACTGGTGCCTTGCTGTGGGGTGTGTTTGTGATTGACAGTGAGCTGAGTACGGCTGAGTGCATGCACTGCTCACACCTCTGATGCAGCTCCTCAGCATTTACAGCGTGTTTCATCTGCTGGTGCAAAGGTACAGAGATTGCAAACTAAAAATGATAAGGCTTGGTTCACTGGTCTGTCTTGGTGCTTTTGAGGGGGCTGACATTGGGGAATAACAATAATCCCTAGTAGTATTACAGAAGATAAAAGCTATGAGGCCTATTAAGCCTCATTTGCTTGTGCAAAGGGGGAAGTTTCTTCTAAGCCCAATACTGTGTGATGGGCACTTTGAAGAAGCTTTCAGCCTGTGTATCAAGGGTCCCAAGATGCTTGCCACTGATACAACCCACTATCTTTGTGACTTTACGTTAGATGTCCTGATTCAGGCTGTCATATCTGGGATAAAGCTGGACTGCCTGTTTTTCAACCTGATCATTAAAAGCTGTGGAATTCCTGTGGGGCAGTGTGATAGGCCTCCTTCTTTATATACCGATAATTTGTGTTATCTTGTCTCTTCCATAGGGTGGTTAATGTCACTCCAGTACCTGGGGACTTGCTTCGTGAGAACACTGAGGATGTCCTACAGGGTGAACATCTGAGTGATCAAGAGAATGCTCCTCCCATCCTGTCAGGCCGGCCAGTGGAAGGTCTTGGTCAGGCTCCAAACACCGCTTTCAATGAGGGTGAAGTTTGGGAAGAGACAGATGTGAATCGCAACAAACTCAGGATCAGCATCAGCAAAGTAAAGAACATTCCCTGATCTCCTGTGGCTGTTGGATTTAGGGCAATGGTCAGAGCCACTGATATAACATGCTATGTTACAGTGCAGACCAAAAAACATCGAGGAGTTTCCTTGTGGAAAGAGAAAATTACAGACAATTTTTTCACAGAGTAAAAGCCATTGGGATTAATTTGGATCTTTATGCATGTGACATTTTGGGGGCCACTAATGCTAAAGTGAATCTTTCTTACAATCACATCATTATCTAGGATTTTGATACTTCAAGCAAGGAAATTCTAGTCCTTGCATAGCTGATACAATATCTGAAATGCCTCAAACTTGGAAATTATAAGCCAAAATTTTATTGTTTCCCAACCTCTTGTGTAAATACATTTAATCAGAGATGTCTTCGTAAACTGTATTTTTCTGTATCTTGAATCATCACTAATTTATGTCTTTCTTTTTTTTAACTTTCCTTTCTAAGGGTAGGACAATCTATAAGGAGCATCTAATGATGGTTTCACCCCTGTGAAGAGTGAGAGAAACCATCACTTAATATTCTCATATTTCTGCATTCTAAAATCATATTACGCTTTTTAGCTTGCATGAAGTGTATACTTCAGTTGATTTTCCTCATAATCTCTAAGATGTTTCTCAGTCCTTTCATGTAAACCTTACTTAATTTCTTGGAGGCATCCCCGCTGAATGATGATACTATAGTAAATGTTAAGTATAAGAATCTACCTGTTAGTTTATTTATTAGATCAGGTTACATATTGTGAATAAGTTAGTATTTGTGGCAGGACATCAGATACATGTATAATCTGTTAGCAGAGAAATGTTCATCAGTCTTAAAATGTTGTCAGGGCATATTGGATTCATGTCACAAACCTGTCTTTAGTGGACATTTGTGGACTAGCATGTTAAATTTATCAGTCTTCTGGGTCTGACCAGAATTCACTTCAGTCTCTGCTAGTAAAAATATTCCTTATTTTAGCCATGTAGATATCTTCACTATCCTTAGTCTTATTAGAAAAAACGTGCATGGACAAGAAATAATCTTATCTAACTTGCTTAAAATTCTCCAGTGCAAATAATTCAGATCAACGTGTTTTACGTATGGAATAGTAGCAGCAGCATCTCCCAACACTGGGAATTATGAACCAACTTCAAATCACTTCTTCATCTCTCACTGGTAACGGTGTGTGCCTTCCCAGAAGTTTTTATTTGAAGGCACATGAAATAAGAAAAACCTGGTAGAGAGGAACAGTTCTGTTCACACAACATACAGAAAAATCATGGTAACTTCTGTGTGCTTTTCTGTTCCTTTTAACCACCAGGTGCCTTGATGCTTTCAGTCAGACTGAGATATGCACGGAGGAGTCCTAAATGTCCTTTCTGTGTGCTAGTTCTATGTCATGTCTTAGGTACCCGGTGCTGTCATTCACAAGCCTTGTCATAACAGCAGCTAGAGGCAGGAGAGGTTTCTGTAAGATCCACAGCGTAACCAGGTGACTCTCCCACCAGGGAATATGCTATTTGTTGTCAGGTTACTGGCAAAGGAGCTTCCAGACTTAGTCAGCGTGGCAATGAGCACTTCAGTTCTGACAAGTCTGTACTACGCTGCAGTCTATGCGGTAGACCTCAGGGCATCATGCTCTCCAGAGCTGAAGTCCTTTCTCCCCGTGGGGGTTGTTATCTTTAATGTGACTTTTGCCTGTCCTTTTGCTTTGCCAGACCTATTATCTTTACTCTGAGTGTTCTCTGAGAGAGAATAATATTTTATTTAAGTAACAGTCACCATATGAAGCAAAAAAGGATGCTGCAGATTTGATACCTAAGGGCACAGCTTCACCTCTGCTTGTAATCTGAGGCATGCCTTGTGTCTTTCAGAACCACAAGGGCAGCTGGTGTATTAAACACCCTTCTGCTATTCACAGTGTCCCCATCCTTCATCTTTCAGTCTTGTAGCACTAAAAGTAATTGGCTCTCCTTGTCTTGCTCTTTGCATTTAGGTGATGAGTGGATCTTGCCACGTTTTTTCTTCCTAATAATTCTCTAAGGTCATCCTTATTTCTTTGTTCACACAATTCTGATCTCCTTCTGTCCCACTTCTCCCATTTCTGTGCTAAGGACAGGGCTTACTGTCAGTGTTCTCCACACCATCCCCCAGTTCTCTGCTCTTGGATCTTACCAAGTTGCCTTCTACCCGACAGTTACATCAGCACTTTTCTCGTTTCACAAATGCATTTGACCTTCCTTTGTCACTAACCTTCTCCTGCCCATGAATGAATTACAGATTAAATCATTATCATCTGTTCTGCTTTTCCTCTTATGCCTGAAAGTTCTCCTCCACTATTCCTAGCTGCAAAGGCTCTTTAGTTATGCATTCCAAACCCAGCCTGAGTGGTTTAGGTCTGTTAATTTATGGACACTGAATTGCATGCACAAAGGCAAGTATCTTAATCAGCAGCATTTAACTGAGAAGCTGCTTATATTCAGAGTCTCTAGCATTAATAAGTGAATGTAGGGCATGCAGCAGAGAAGCTCCCTTTTCTGCTGCTAAATTAAAGAAAAAAAAATCAAATTCACTAAGGCCATATGAAAAAGAAATATATACCGATATGAGGAAATATGTACATGTCCATGAGCATGTTCAGGTCTGTGCATGACCTTGGGTCTGTGGAAAGCTCTTATAGATGTTGTGGTTGAATGTATGTCCTGGAGGACTTTGTTTAGAGTACCATGATTTAAACAAACAAACAAAGAAACAAAACACAAAAAAAAACCTCCAAACTACCCTGGTAATCAGGAGATGGCTTAGTCATATCAAGTTCATCAGATGTAAAAGTTTGTATGTTGCAGTTTTATGACCTGATAGATGCAGATTAACCAAGATGGCCACAACTCACAGCTCAAGTATGAAGGATAGATTTATTCCATCATTGCAGAGACATACATACACTGCTAAGTCCAAACTTAGCAGGGTCAAAAGCACCAGCCCATTCTGGGCTTTGCCTTGCGTATTAAAGGCCTTTTCTTTCATCAGACAGAAAACAACCCAAAGAAACACAATATGTGAAAATTCTCACACTGAAAAAATATTCTTAGCATTACAGAATCATCTAGGTTGGATAAGAAATCACTGAGTCCAACCTATGACCTAACACCACCTTGTCAACTAGACCATGGGACTGGGCACCACATCCAGGCTTTTCTTAAGCATTTCCAGGAATGGTGACTCCATTACCTCCCTGGGCAGCCCATTCCACTGCCCAGTCACTCCTTCTGTGAAGAACTTCTTCTAATATCCAACCTAAGCCTCCCCTGGTGCAGCTTAAGACTGTGTCCTATTGTCCTATTGCTGGTTGCCTGGGGGAAGAGACCGACGCCCACCTGGCTACAACCTCCTTTCAGACAGTTGTAGAGAGTGATGAGATCTCCCTTGAGCCTCCTCCTCTCCAGACTAAACAACTCCAGCTCCCTTAGCTACTTCTCATAGGACTTGTTCTCCAGACCCTTCACCACCCTCACCATGGACGCCACCTGTCCATGCCCTTCTTTGGACATGCTCCTGCACTTCAATGTCCTTCCTGAATTGAGGGGTTCAGAACTGGATACAGCACTAGAGGTCTGGCCTCACCAGTGCCAAGTACAGGGGAAGAATCCCTTCACTAGTCCTGTTTGCCACACTGTTCCTAATATAGGTCAGGATGCCATTGACTTTCTTGGGCACCTGGGCACACTGCTGGCTGTTCAGTGAGTACCCCCATGTTCCTTTCTGCCTTCCTAGCTGCAGAGTTATCTTGAGCAGAAACAACTAAAAATAGTGCTATTTCCTAGCCAAATCTTCCATTTTCAACCCCTTCCTCCCTACACAGTATAATGTGTGGACTCTGCATAGATGAACATTGACAAACAAGGGCTCTTAGACATCTTGGATAAGCAGTTAGAGTTTGTGTATGCAGTAGGTTAACCAATGGCAATTCCTTTGGATCAACTATTCAGGGTAATTGAAATGCAAAGGCTACCTTGTAAAGATGTTCAAATATTTGAATTGATTTAAAATCTGTACCTTATTTTAATACTAGATAATTCCCAGGGCATAGGGACCTTTGCATTCGGTCAGAAATTGCTTGTGTAGATTGTGGAAAGGCAGCTGAAACTGTGTCCTGGAAGAAAGCACTGAGCAACAGTGACGGACGGGAAGTCAGTGTTCTTGGCCAGATTTTGAAGTTCTTTGTGTTTACCCACTGCAGACTCAGTGCATGGTGGAAGAGGAGCAGAGAAACGGTGTCTACCCCAGTTCCCCTGTCCGAGTGCCTCCGGAGTCCCCCACCGCACAAGTACGCTCCCTCAGATACCGCCGTGTGAACAGCCCGGAGTCAGAACGCCTCTCCACTGCTGATGGCAAAGGGGAGCCACATGAAAGAAGGTTTGTTCACCCTCTGTAACCTCCTACTGTTTCTGGCAGCGTCTTGATTACTGACCATTGAGGCCAACCTAATCATTAGATCAGCAAGGGCTGGAAGTTCATTTCTGGGTGGAGGAATTCATGGGCCTTATAATCTTTCTGATGAGATGTAAATTCATGTCTCTTAATAAGGAGAGTTAGTGGGAGTGATTCCCATCCTGTCCCTGGATGGGAAGAACTCCACGGATGGAAGGAGGGATGTTTTTCAAAGGAAAGGCAAAGCATCAGATCAGAGATAAAGTAACAGTCAGAAAACTTTTGGCAGGCCTGAGGTGGGAGGGAAGGATGAATCTTCTAATTAGGATACTTACACGTAGGGGTGCATGTATTCTGGGAGCTGGCTAGCAGATCCTTATCTGGTGGGCTTCATTATTTTATTGGTTTTCCTTATTTTTCATCATTAGAAATAGTAGTATTCACGTTTCAGCATACAGCATTGTGCTTGTTTGCATGTGAAAAGTACACTTTGCATCTTGATTTTCAGGGTATTAGGAATACCTTCTCTCAGATCCACAGCAAAGCAACAAATAAAAAAATGCAAGAATAATAAAAAATAATGAAAAGAAACTTTTTAAACTATTGTGTGCTGGAGAGAACACATTACAAAACATAAGCCCTTGGTGCTGGTAATGCCCTTCACATCTGTTTTCTGCTTCTAATTGAAATTCAGGGCATGAGCTGTGGTTGCAGGATGTAGTGGTGAAATGGCCCCTCTAAATGAGGTAGAGGAGAGACAGGCCTTCTTCTCAGAGAAAATCTGACAGACTTCAGCCGAGAAGAACAGTCACAAGGAGACAGTAGCTGGACATGAAATAGGATGTAAAAGAACTAGAGAGAGGAAGTGTATTAGGTAGTGTTTTATTCTGAGTGGCTGCGGTAATCTAGTGCTTTTCTGTAGTTTAGAAAAGACTGTTTGTGTTGCTATTAATAATTTAAGGTTTGAATAACTTGCTACCTGTTTGTTTTCTTCTTACTCAGAAGAAAGACTCTTTAAAATAGGAAGGGAAACAGGGCATTATAAACAGTCAGCAACACTAGTCCTGTATATTCACTGAATGCTTCTAACTCCTTCCTTTCTTTCTTCCATTATTCCTTGTCTACTCAGCATCATGCTAAATGCATCCCTTTCTTTTGTCTTCTTTCTTCAGCTTCTGGTTTTAAAATCAGTATCTTTTTTCATCTTCCAAGTAACCTGCACCAAGCATGGTGCAAATACAATCCCATTCTGCCCCATGATGTCTCTTTATTCTGTTTTCATCCTTTCGCAACACAGATTTGATTCCCAGCACTGGCAAATTCTTTTGGCTTTCTGGAGTAAATTATTCTTCTCAAGTTGTCTCTCCTCTGCTGAGGAATGGATGAAGACACTGGCTAAATTCGGAGTTTTGTTTTATTTTTTCAGCAACAGCTCTTTAAAATTCAGTTCTTCACATACACAGTATAGGCCATTTTTCATTCTTAGTTTGCATACTTAAGTGGTCCTTCTCCACAACAATATATTTTTAAGACTACAACAAGTACAGCCTTGCTTCTTTCAGATCCATCACATGGCTTTTGCTGAGATCTTTGTTTTTGCTCACAACTTCTATCTACATCAACCTTTGGTTCACCTACTTCTCTACTTCCCTTTCCTTCATCAAAAATTGGAAGGCTTTCCCCAGTCTGCAAGGCTCTGCAAGAATCTGCAAGGCTCCTGGGTGATCCTTGTTGAAATCAGTTTGTAAAACACACTGCAGATGTCCAAAAATCTGGGCAGCAGACACTTTGGCTTTGTGCAGCAAGCTGCTTGCCTCTGAGATAGGTGGAAAAGCAAAGAAAGAGGCAGATGCAGGTCAAATGAGAAACGTGGATCATAACACTGTGGAGCAGAAAGACAGAAGTGCCACTGACTTCTCCAGCTGAGATGCTGTCAGAACTATTGAAACACAAGGAGCTTCCAAAGCCTTTCTGAAAGGTATTTCTGCATGGCTGCAGAAGCTGGTGCTATTTAGACTGTGAGCCACCGAATATTATACTACCCTTTGTAAACGGATACTTGCCATATTTACTTTGTGCTTCTTCAGAATATTTTGGGGTTATCTGTGTGTGATGGGATGAAAGATTCTTGCTGTCTTCAAAGAACTTGTGTGGCCACCTTAGAGGCCTCAGTGGCCACCACACAGAGAGCACAGTGAAGCTGGTTATAGGACCCCAGAAGAGACACTAGTTAGTCAGACAGTAGATTTAGGGGTGTTTTGGTTTGATTTTTTTTCACAAGCCAGTAAAACTTAGCGAAGGGGAAAGATGTTTGTGGGGAAAAATGGCTTTGATTCTGTCTAGGAGGAAAAGAGATGCTGAATTGGTTGTTATACTGAAGCACTTTATGGGAACATCTTTATGCCATTGTAGGTTCTAAAGAAATATTTTTGCTTAAGGCTGTCTTTCTGAAGCGTACCAAGAAATGAGCGAGAAGGACTACACAGGTTTTCTCTTATCTGTCTTATTTCTGTCTTTGACCACAAACCTGATGTATTTTTAATGGCTTCATGCTCTGTCTTTAGATCTCGAATGGATATACCTGGCTCTCCATCACGGCTTGTGTGCTCCTCCCAGCCAGCCCAGATGCTGTCCATCGATACTGGCCAGGCTGACCGGCAGGCAAGTGGTAGGATGGATGTGTCTGCTTCGGTGGAACACGAAGCCCTCAGCAACGCTTTCCGCTCAGTGCCGCTTGCAGAAGAGGAGGACTTTGATAGCAAGGAGTGGGTTATCATTGATAAGGAGACAGAACTGAAGGACTTTCACCCAGGTGCTGAGCCAAGCACCTCTGGTACCACGGATGAGGAGCCTGAGGAACTAAGGCCTATTGAGGATGGTGAAGAGAGAAGGCGCTTGGGGGCAGATGCTGCAGTCAGGCCGAAGACGCATGATGGGCGAAGTCGGGGTATGCAACCTGTGACTGAGGAGGACAGTTCCCACAGACATGAAGGACCTTCTCAAACAGTATCTGACAGTAGACATGAACAGCAGACAGGAAGTCCAGCCCACTCCCCCTTACATTCAGCACCAGCTCTCCGACAAAGGAGACGAGAATCTGAACCTACTGGTCCTCAGAGACAGGTAAGGTCCCTGGGTCTGTACCTTGTTGCCTAGCATAGCATCATCTTAGGAAATCTCAGCTGTGCTGGAGAAGTCTTTGATTCTAAGCATGACTGCTCTTGTGAAACTCTTCTGACAGTGCTTGCAAATGTTGTGAACACCTTAGAAGTGCTCCCTATAGCTAGTGACATAGTCCCCTTCTAAGGACACACTGTTATTGAGATCTTTCAGCCACTTCGGCACAGGAACAAGAGGAGAGCGCAGTTGTGATTGTGGGTGTCTTTAGTCAGTTCTCTTATGCTTTCCCACAGTGTTTTGTTAATAACTAGTTAGTTGTATGGAAATGTTGCTAGCAAATCTTCTCCACATAGTTTCTCAGTGGCAACAGCAGTGTATGGCAAGAAAATGCCTTCTAATCTAATTACATATCAGCACTGCACAGGCCTGCAGCAATGCAAATCATAAAATAGCTCCCTGGAATTAAACTTTATTTTAAATACCTACTATAAAGCTCAGAGTAACCAGCACACTTATCAGCCTTACTTCAGTGAGAGGCATTGTTGTCACCATGTATTTAGTCACAGAAATGTTCTTTACCTACTGTGTTTTTTACAGATAGTTGAAGAGGGTTTTTTTTCTTTCAGTTTTGCTTTTTTCCTGTGGCCTTCTAATGCTATAAAGAAGTTCAGTTTTTGGTGGGAGGTAATTTATTAGGTTACCTGGAAAAATATGATACACTCTTAGGCTCAGAGTTCCTCTGTCATATCTAATCTTCCTTTCTCAGAAGAAGGCTGTCCCAGAGCACTCAGTGCAAGAGACAATCAAATTGTTCTCCTCAGAGCTTTTGGTATTTGTATGTTAATGAGGATCTCTCATGCACGTGGGATCCATATGCACAGCAAAGAGCAGGCGAGTTTTGGGTAATGTACACAGTTATACCCTGTTATGACAGGCATTTGTGCAGTCTGCTTGTTCCTCTCTGGAAGATGGTAACTCCATTTCCCTTTCCCTCTTGAGCTTTTTCTACAAGGGAGTGTTCACTGGACTGAAGCATGTTAAAAGAACATCCTTTCGTTCAGGTGTTTCCCATTTTCTTCTCCTCTTTAGATCCTTGAGAGGTATAAGGAGAAAAGGACTGTTAGTTTTGGCAGCAGAATGTGAATGATACAAGAATCTACGTAAAAGGAATCAAAGCAAATCCTTGCCTGCCAGGCAAGGTGTTGCTTGCTAAGGTGTATCAGGCTGCAGCACCTACAGGAAGGTTAGAAATGCTGACAGCAGACACCAGGGGGACTGTCCTGCTGAGCATGGAATAGAAGCAGAACATGCTTCTCTTGGAGACTGCATCCAGTTGCAAGGTTCCTAGGTGGAGATGTTTGCTGTATAAAACCAATGTGTTGAATGCCCCAGATATCTGGAGGTTACATGAGGCAAGATCGGCAGAGTTGGAAGGGTCTGTGTCTCAGTTTTCTCTGTGTGTACACTTACTGGGTTGGTCAGTGCAGGATCTGCAAAAATCCTGCAATGAACATAGTAAGAGCCAGCTGATAAGAATCAGCTGTAAAAAACATCAGGGACGCTTCAGTGACATATTTATTGTGACAAAGAAGGCCAGAGATGCCTTCTTGGCCATAGCATGTACACCCCTGTGTGAAATGACTGGGGGAGTTGGGTATGATGTGCTGCTTATCACTGCACAGTGATACTTAACAAGCAGGCAAGAAAGGTAAATCAGTGGGCCTGTGGGTGATTACTGCTAATATATTAGACAGGCTTTGTTCTCTTTGTTCTCCAGCTGACTGGATTTTTCTGTTCCTATGCTCTGAAATACCCTCTATTTACTCCTTGGCCTAGCTTTGTGCATACAGACCAACACTGGACTTCTTTGGCTGACTGGGATTTAGTTTTCTTCCTTTGATGTCTGGATCCTTCAGTTGCCTCTATGCACACAGCTTTGAAGTGTTATTCATATTTTTTCCATTTGATGTCACAAAACCAACTACAAACTCTCAAAGGAAAAATGACTTGGTGCCTAAAGGAAATCAGAAGCCTGTTCTCCTTAGGTATAGCGAATAAGGAGGGACACTAACAAGAAGTTGACCAAGGATTTAACTAGTGAAGATACTGATGGCCTTGTTAGCAATGACACATTTCCTGTAGCTCAGGCTTGGGTTTCCCTGGATTTGATTGAAATTAGGCTCTGTTTGTGTATGTGTGTGTGCATGTTAGTAAATCTTCCTTATCTTTGAACATGAAGTGAGCTTTTAGGATAGGTAAAAATTTCACTAAATGCAGAACTACTGTGATTGAAGTCATAGGCTTTGTTGTACCAATTTGTGACCTCTATTTTGGTGTCCCAAAAACTGTTGATCATCCACTGGTGTCAATACTGAGTCAACTAACTGAGAGCAACTGGGTTATCCCTGTTCTAATATTTTTTCTGTTTCTCCATTACCTGGCTCCAATATATGAGCCATTACTGGCAGAAAGTCAGTGACTTCTGGATTGTCATAGAATCACAACACGCCTGAGATTGGAAGGGACCTCTAGAGATCACCTAGTCCCACCCTGTGCTCCAAGATGGATCACCTAGAGCAGATTGCTCAGGGCAGTGTCCAGTCAGAATATCTCTGAGGATGGAAACTCCACAACATCTCTGGGCAACCTGTTCCAGTGTTCAGTCACTGTTACGATAAAAAACTTTTTCTTCTGTTTAAGTGAAATTTCCTGTATTTCAATTTATGTCCATTTCTTCTTGTTCTTTCACTGGACACCATTAAGAAGAGTGTGGATCTATCTTCTTTTTCCCATCAGGTATTTATAAATGTTGATGAGAACACCCTGAGCCTTCTCTTCTCCAGAATAAAAACTCCCAGGTCTCACAGCCTTTCCTCAGGTGAAAGGTCTCACAGTCCCTTTGTCATCTTTGTGACTCTTCTCTGGACTATCTCCAGTATGTCCATGTTTCTCTTACACTGGGCACCTCAGAACTGGAATACAGCACTCCAGGTGTGAGTAGAGGGGAAGGACCATGTCACCCAGCCTGCTGGCATCATTCCTAATGCATCCTGGGAGGCTTTGGGGCCTTTCTGCCACAAAGGCACCTTGCTGGCTTGTGTCCAGCTTAGAGGCCACCAGGACCTCCAGGTACGTCTCTGTCAAACTCCTTTCCAAACAGGTGGCTCTCAGTACATTCTGTTCCTCCTCACATGCAGGACTTTGCAATTCCCTTTGTTGAACTTTGTGATTTTGCCCATTTCACCAGCCTATCCAGGCACCTCTGAGTGTCAGCACAACCCTCAGATGTGTCAGCCCCTCCTCCCAGTATTGTATCACCTGTGAATCTGTACCTGTTGAAGGTACACTCTGTCCCATCATCCAGGTCATTAATGAAGTTGTTTAACAGTGATGGCTGCCTTATCAGCCCGTGGTTACACCACTAGTGACTGGCCTCCAGCTGGACTTTTTTTTCTCTAAACACTTTGAGACCAGGAGCTCAGCTAGTTTTCAGTCCAAGTCACTCTCTACTTATCTAGCCTATATTTCATCATTTTGTCTGTGTGAGAGGTGGTGCTGTCCTCGTGAAACTCTGTGGGAGTAAGAGGGAGCACAATATGATGAGATGCTGCTGCGACGAAAGTCAAGTACAGAGGAGGCTCAGAATAGCCTGGGGGAATTTCTGACCCAAATATTCTCACGTCTTAGATACCTCCCAGTTTCAGATAACAAGAAGATGGCTGCAGTGGAGCATAGATCTCATGGAAAGTCCTGGTACAGAGGAAGACTCATTGCTCCTTGCTTATTTTAATTCCTATTGAGCTGCGTTTGGTGCTTGTTGCAGATGATGTGATTCTTTGACATTCAACTCCTCCAGCTTCCCTTCAGGAGAAGAGGAGCTTGTCAGCTGATGGAGAAGGATGAATGTAGAGTTGGCTTCTTAGACTCTTTAGATTCAGGGTCCCTGTCCATCCGTGTGTTAGGAATAAAGGATCAGCAAAAGGGTGATAGTAGAAGTAATGTTCACCTCTACCCTTTATCTATCTGTCTAATCTATCTATCTATCTATCTGTCTGTCTATCTATCTATCTACAGATAATAGCAATCAAAACCTTAAGCTCAGCAGAAATTCCTAATTACATTTTATATCTGTAAAATATATTGAGCTCTATCAACATCACATTTTTCTGGGATTACACATGTGAGGTGTCATCCTGCTCCTGTCCAAACAGAGCAGAATAGGCCTGTTGAAAGGTGATCCAGCCTGATTACTGCAAGGGCACAGAAGGGAGCAGCACTTTCAGCACTGACTGTGTAGCTTCAGCATTAGAGCATCAATGAGAAAAAGTGGCATGTCTGTAACCTCAGCTTCAGCCCAGAGGCAACAAAACCCAAGTGCACCTGCTCCTTCATGGCCTGGGCAAGGTCCTTGGTCCTGTGCTGTAAAGGAAGTCTATCTGGGTAGCTGGTAGCTTTTGACCTGAGAAATCTTTACCATGTTGGCATGATGTCTACCCTGGAAATCATACAGTATGATGAACCCAAACATGGAGCAAAAACTAAGAATAAAAATTCCAGGATGCTTAGTTGTGCAGCTTGCAAACAGTACACCCAGGGCTAAATTTCTACGCCATCTATGCAAAAAGAGATAGTTGTCTTTATGTGAAATTAATGCTGCTGTCTATATTTTGTCTATCTCAAGTACCCTGTATGACAACGTTCCGTTATTATTATCTGAGACTGATCTATGCAGTGACATGAAGTACATTTAGGACTGGGAATAATTGCTTTTCACATTTAATGCCCACCATGAACTGAGTGGCTCTCAGGTGCTTATGAAAATATCTGTCTCAAAGCACTGCAAAGATACTGGAAGGTGACAGGAAAGAGATGAGGCTGGATGACATTCAGCTCTTTTCCTAGTGCAAGGTCAGCATCTCCAGTAAGGTACAGAGAGCAGTTTTGTCTTTAAGAAAATACAATATTGCATTTTCACATTTCCCAATTAGATTTTGAAACCTGTG